TTCCTGAGTCTGTTGGTTTGTACAGTGCTCTGTAGCGCCTATCAGAGGGGAGGAGCTGGAACAGGTTGTGTCCGGGGTGAGATGGATCTGCAGTGATGTTTCCTGCCCGTTTCCTGACTCTGGAAATGTATAAGTCCTGAGGGGCAGGATGGCACCGAATATTTTTTCTGCAGTCCTGACTGTCCGTTGTAGTCTGCTCCTGTCCTTTTTGGTGGCGGATCCAAACCAGACAGTGATGGCGTTGCAGAGGACAGACTGGATGATGGCTGTGTAAAAGTGGATCAGCTCCTTAGGCAGGTTGAGCTTCCTGAGCTGACGCAGGAAGTACATCCTCTGCTGGGCCTTCTTGATGATGGTGTCAGTGTTGGGCTCCCACTTCAGGTCCTGGGATATAGTGGAATGCAGAAACCTGAAGGATTCCACAGCAGACACAGGGCTGTTGAGTATGGTGATGGGGGGCAGAGTGGGGGGGCTCCTCCTGAAGTCCACGGTCATCTCCACAGTTCTGAGTGTGTTAAGCTCCAGGTTGTTCTGACTGCACCAGAGAGCCAGCTGATCAACCTCCCGTCTGTAGGCCGACTCATCACCTTCCCGGATGAGGCCGATGACCGTTGTGTTGTCAGCGAAATTCAGGAGTAACGAACGAGGAGTAACGAGCGAACGCTTTGTTTCCACTGAAGTCCTCCATGTCGACCAGCAGCTCGTACTTTTTCCTCAGAGTCAGGTGGAAGAAAGTCTCAAGACCTGAACACAATCAATCAATCAATCAAAATTTATTTATAGAGCACTTTAACAGCAATCACAAAGTTGCACAAAGTGCTATACAGAGATTTTAAAAAAGCAAACATCAATTAACAGGTTTTCACATACATATATATACATGCGCTTCCTGTGCTCTACTTCTTCTATCCCCTACAATTACCTTGTATTGATTGCACTTTTTTGTTAACTCTTACTTCTTTCCCTAGGTATTTACCCCATTGATGCGATATGTGCCATTAGCGCTTACTAGCATTTATTGCTGCTTTTATTAATATGTATTGTCAGTTGTAGATCTTGTGCTGTTGATGATTGTATGTTGTTCCTCAAATGTAAGTCGCTTTGGATAAAAGCGTCTGCCAAATGAGTAAATGTAAATGTAATGTACATTTGATGAGATGCCACCGCAAAAGCACGGTCCTCTTTAAGTTTGCGACGGGTTTTAGGCGCTCTCAGGAGAAGTTTGTCAACTGACCTGAGCGAATGGGTGGGTGTATAAGGATGAAGCAGCTCAGATAAATAAGGGGGGGCAAGGCCGTCAAAGTTAGTTAATAAACTTTCTTAATAATGACTCACAGAGCTTTTTTAAGGTTCAGATCAGCTTGAAACTCTTCTTTTACACAAACACAACAAAAGATGAACAACTGCACAGGAGTGAGGGAGGTGACAGCTGGTGTGTATGTTTGAGTTTATTTTGTCCTTTTTTCAGTGTGTGAGATGCTTGGTGGGTTTTAGTTTTGTCCGTCTACGTGTGGTGTCTCTCTCTCTCTTTCTCTCCCTCTCACTCGCCTTTTCCTCCCTCTCCCTCAGAGTTGTGGGCTGTATCTCTGGCAGCTTGGCGTTTCCCCCCCAGCTGCAGGCAATCGGCATTTCACACACCTGCCTCCTGTGATCATCAGGACTGGTTTATATACCCTGCCATCTCCTCAGTTCCCCGCCAGATTATTAAGTCTTGTTTGTAGGTAACGCTACGACCTGCTTAACCTGCCTCCTGCCTTTGGAGACCCTGCTCAGTCATGGAGAACACCTGGCTGGAGATCTCCCCACTTCAGACTCACTTCCCAGTCAGCCCTGTTACCTTACCCCCCCACCCCAGCATCAAACCATATCTTGTGTTCAATACACTGAGTGAATATCCTTCTGAGCCGTGTTCTTGTCTGCATCTGGGTTCTGAGCCACAAAATCCCTGACAACTGTAGTAAATAAAAAGGCTAACAAGTTTTCATGTCTTCACACAGAGTCCTGGAGGGATGGTACAGCCAGAGGTGGAAAGTACAAATACTTTGTTACTGTACTTGAGTAGTTTTTTTTACGGTATCTGTACTTTACTTGAGTAGTTTTAGTTGTTGTAACTTTTTATTTTCACTTTGCTACATTTCAAAGCCAAATACCGACTCTGCACGAATCAACTTCAGCCAGCTGATTCGACACTGGCATACACATGACAGTCCAGCGCAGAGCTCACTTTCCTGTCAAAGGTGAACGCAAATGTTCACAACTTTGATGAGAGGATGAAGAAGGACTATCCTTCTAGGCACGAGAAGAGAAAAACTCAGAGTGAAGTGCGGGAACAGCAGTCAGGTAAACTTGCGTTTTCTCTTCTACAAGTCAGCAGATCACACTTAATGTGCAGCTGCAGTAAATCTCTGTCTGTCTGTCCTGATAACCAGCTCAGCTCTTGTCTGTCATGTCTTGGTTGTTTGCCACTGAACATTGTTAGAGTAAAGTACAACTCTTTATTACATTTAATAAACACAGGCTAACAGGTTTATAAACTGTAGCTCGAAAAGATGACCGTGTTGCGCGTGGAAAAGCGTTCATATGCGCGTGCACGAAATTAAACTCACGCATTCCAGCAAGAAACATCTGTGAGACCAGTCCAGACAGGATGTCAGGCCACTCTTCGCACATCATTTTAAAACAGTAAAGTTTAGTTACAGCTCTGGACTAATGCAAGGTGGGAAGCAGTGGATTCACATTTTTCATTTAGTCTATAGCAACATCATCTTTACTGTCTGTACCTCTGTGTGTATATTGTGTAGGCTAGCTCTCTCTCTCTCTCTCTCGCTCTCTCCCTCCCTCTTTCTCTCTCTCCTTCACCCCCAACCAGTCGAGGCAGATGGCCGCCCACCCTGAGCCATGGTTCTGCTCGAGGTTTCTGCCTCTTAAAAGGAAGTTTTTCCTTGCCTCTGTCGCCTAGTGCAGCTCTTGGTGGGAACTGTTGGGCTTCTGTGCTCAGAGATAACTGTTGTTGTAATGTGGCACTATATAAATAAAATTTAATTGAACTTGTTTCTGTAGGAGACGGCTTGAGTTATCACAACAAACACCAGGACTCCATTACTGAGAAACTGAGAAACCAGATTACACCTGAGGTCGTTCTGGGACAACAACTGTCACTATACAAACCCCAACAGGGTTTATCTTTGGGGGGCTGACAGCACTCTCTCTAATGTTGGAATGGAGTGGTACCATTGGAAGGGTTATAACTACTCCCTGAAGACCTTCAGCATGAAGATCCGTCCCGTGCAGTAGTTCTCCAGGAGCAATGTACAGCAGAATATCAGCAGCTGATCTCTCTCACTTATCTAGAACATAATCTGACATGCTGTTTAGATGGAAACAGACACAGAGTCTGATAACGTGTTGATAACTGCATTAACTGTCAACACAATTTATAGCAAAGAAAACAAGATGAAAATATATTAAAAGAACAAAAGCATGCATGTCTGTCTGTCTGGATTCTCTCTGGTCCGAAGTTCTGAGCTCTTTCCTTCCTGTTCACAAACACTAATGATCATGAGTTGCTGCCCTCTGGTGGCCACAGTAACAAAGTACAGCTCCACCTTCTGCAGGGATAAAAACACACATATCAATGCTTACTGTTCTTAAAAGGAATCAATACTGGTGTTAATAATCAGCAACATGAACCAGTGTAGTATTTAAACTGCTTTATAAACTGTTAGTCTAATTTCCTGTATAACACTGCATTGTAACATGTACAGTGATACACTAGAAAGACATCATGAAAACATTTCCACCTGACCAAGTTATGAAGGGATGAATATCTATACTTACATCATAAAAGACACAAGCTCACAGTAAACTGCATCAGTAAGGTGCAAACATATTTAATGTCCACATAAATATTTGGGGCAAAGTATTATTCAGCTGACTTGACTTTCTTTAAGTTAATTTTTTTTCATCATTTAGTTATGGTTCATTGTTAAAATATTCAAACAGATTGACTCGTTGCAGTTTGGTTTATTTTGTTTCTACAGTGACCTGATCAGCCATCAAACATGTTCCCCTTTGTGTTCAGGTATATTTGATTTATAACTTAACGTACGACTTTAGTCAGGTTTAGTTGACCTCTTTCATCGGGCCACATCTTTTACTGCTAATTTTGTAAATTGTTTCCCGGTTTTCTGGGTTAATGAAATAAATAGAAATACCTTTATTGTACAACAAGAGTTAGTGTGCAGGAGGAATTAATCATGACTATAAAATATAAACAAATATAAAACTAGTCCTGTGACTGCTGAGCAAACTACATTTCCTGATGAAGATCATGTAATACAGTCAAGAGGTCTGGAAGAAGCAGTGTACCTCCAACAGTTTGAATGGATTTATAACAGATCTATAATTTATAATCTATATCTGAGTGACGCTGTGTGTGCACTGTAAAAAAAAAGTTGAGAAAACTTAAATAAAATATTAAGTCGGGAAATTAAACATAACCTTTTAAGTTTTGATTTAGAGTTTGATCAACTTTCAGTTGTAGGTTTTCTTAACCCAACTTTTTAATTGCAACAACTTAGAATTATTATTTTTGCTAACTTAACTCTAAGTTGTAATAACTTGTAATTGCATCAATTTAGAATTATTACTTCTGTTAACCCCAAGTTGTAATAATGTATAATTTTGACTTGCAACAACTTTGACACATCTAAATGTATAAATAATTACACATGCAACTACATTCAAAATGTGTTTTATTTTTTATCAAATTCTTAACGGCCAAGCAAATTACAACCTGTATCTGTCCCGGTCTTAGCACTCGTCTTGGGTTTTAACAATGTATCACCTCTCAAACAGCAAAATACAATGAGGTAGCATTTAGGGAGATGCAAGAGGATTTCCATGGAAGTTTTGACCATACCAAGATGGAGTTATTAGTATTAATATTAGCATTCAACATCAATATAAAACTATGCAAAATGACAAAACTTAAAAGTTACCAAAAGAGGTAGCTCATGGGTTGATATAAAACAGCGCATAGAAGTAGTGTCTACAAGACAGGTGGAAAGGGAACTTGAGATAAAGAAAAGGAGCAGAGAACACAGAAAGCTTGACAACTTGGAGGGAGGGTTAGAGAAGAAAGGTTGAGAGAGGGAATTTGAAAATAAGAGAAAGAGGGAAAAAAGCAAATCAGAAGATGTGGAGGAGGATCCATCTCATTAAAAATATATGAACCATTAAAATATTATTACACAACGGCCAACAGAGATTTGTGAAATTCAAAACTGTCCAGGATCCAACAGTCCGCTACCAGCTCATAACTGAACACACTGGATTCACGCATGGAATTTGGTTCTCTGAATTGTCTCAAATGTGTACCTCAGTTCCTTTAAGGTTTAAAGCATAGATCAGTCTAGAGAGGTAGACAAATGCTGTTCAGGCAGGTCAGAGATCTTGGATGATGATGTCTTATTCTATGACATCACAAATGTTTGCAACACTTGCAGGAGCTGAATCATCCTCGAACACAGTGAGGTTGCCCACAATAAGCTCTTTAGTCTGCTGCTCTTCTGGGTCAGCTGCCTTGTGATGACAGAAAGGAAACATAATAAAAGTGAAAGACATGTCATTCAAATACTGTGCCTCAGAATAAGCCATTACTCTAAAATGTGTGGAGAAATGTTCATGTTCAAGTAAGCTGCACTCTTTTTTTTTAACTATAGGCCTGCATATTGTGACAGCCAAGACAATTAAAAATTAAATTTAATAATTTATTCATGTTTTTACCAATACCAAAGCTCATCTGGAAGCTGACGCTAGCTTAAAAATTGGAACTCCAGTGTTAGTCATTCAAATGTAAGCCCAGCTACTCATGTAGCTGTAATATTGTACATACAAGTAGTAAGACTATTTGGAGGAACCAGGCGGAAAATACATAACTTAACTTTCCCGGACTTTCTTGCATTAGCTAGTCACTAGTGTTTGCTAATGTTAGTTGTGTTTACCTTCTCTGTGATAATTCCCAACTTATGTATTGATTAATCACAGCATATAACTTTTAATACTAATACTGAACACTATTTTAAAACAAAAAGAATATCAAAACTTACCTGGGTGCTCTCAAGTCTGATCCGTAACAGCCAGTCAGAAGTGGGAGGACAAACATCAACTGTGAAAGTTGGCTTTCCCACAATTTTACAACAAAGCCATATGTGTTTTCTAAACTTTCACCCCAAGAACTGAAGCACAACTTAAATAAATAATTTGGATAAAAAAAAATCTTTTTAAATTGCTAGGCTGACTTAGTCAATGCGTCAAATGTTAATAATTTAGAATTTTAAGTCTGCAAAACTTAAAAATCCCTTTTAATGCTAAAAAACTAAGTTAGCGTTTTAACAGTGTGTCTGACCTTTAGAGTTAGAGGCTGTTCATCAGGTAGATAACAGCTGAACTGCTCCAGTGGATCTGAGCTGTGAACAGACCTCAGATCAGACTCGCTCAACACGAACACACTTTGTCTCCTAGTTTCACAGGTGAGTTCCATCATGTCATCTGATTCATTTTACGTCTCAGTTCATTTCAGATTCCAGTTGTTCCTCCTACTAGGTGAAGGGAGTGAGGACATGATCAATCTCCTCACTCCCTTCACCTGGCTGCCCCGCCCATCTCCTCACCTGTAGCTCATTATCCTCATTAGTCTCTGAAGTTATACCAGCCCCTAGTCACTAGTTCATTGCCAGACTGTCTGAACACGTCAGCCTTGCAGTCTACTATTCATAGTTTGATTTTGTTTGTTCCACTCATGCCATGACCCAGTTGGTCTGTTTCCTGGACCTTTTTCTGATTATCGGATTGTCGTTTGTTTGCCTTTCACCCTTACTATTTACATGTTATTTTGACCCTGCCTGACTAATGCAAGTAAAGTGAACTTTGCCTTATTGTCTGTCCTGTTAAGTTTCCTCTTAAATGTGAGAGTACAATCTGTCCAGAAATGAACCCAGTTTACTCACATAACAAAAGTATCTTTCATCCATAAAGTTTTAACTGAGCTCTGTCTCTACATCACAGTAACAACTTTATGTCGACGGTGGGATCGCCTGGCGGGAAGGATAGGTAGAGTTGCGTATCGTCTGCGTAGCAGAGGTAAGAGAAGCCGTGCGAGCGAATGATCGGCCCCAGTGAGGTGGTGTAAATTGAGAAGAGAAGGGGCCCTAGCACTGAGCCTTGGGGCACCCCTGTGGAGAGGCAGGGGGAGGAGGATAATTGTCCTTGCCACAAAACATTGTAGGAACGCCCTGAGAAGTAGGATTCGAACCACAGGAGTGCTTTACTCGAGATGCCCATTGCTGAGAGAGCGGATAGCAGGATCCTGTGGTTGACTGTGTCAAAGGCAGCTGAGGTCAAGCAGGATAAGAACCGAGGATTGGGCTGCAGCTTTAGCTGACTTCGAGCTTCTGTTACAGACAACAGAGCCGTTTCAGTAGAGTGGGCACTCTTAAAACCAGACTGATATGGAGGTCTAGGAGGTCATTCTGTGAGAGGAATTCTGAGACCTGTTTGAATACTGCCCGTTCAATAGTTTTGGATAAAAAAGGTACAAGAGACACTGGTGATAGTTCTCAACTTGAGTTGGGTCAAGTGAGGGCTTTTTGAACAAGGGTGTAACCCGGGCCCTTTTGAAAGTGGTAGGGAAGGTTCCTGAAGCCAGAGAAGTATTTATCACGAGATATGGCTTGGAGGAGATTCATAGGAATCGGGTCCAGTGGGCATGTAGTGGGACGGCTGAGGGTCAGGAGTTCTGATACTTCGCTCTCTGTGAGAGGAGTAAATGAGGAGATTGAAGAACCACTGACCTGGGAGGGCAGAGAAAAAGATGTAGTAGGACTGCTACAATGGTTGAGTTTGAATGTTTAAAAGAATTGGCTAGTTATAGCCTCCACTTTGCCTGTGAAGAAGGCATCAAAAGTATTAGCAGCAGACAGGTTTGTGGGTGGTGGAGGTGGACGAGGATTTAGTAGCACTTTAAAAGTGGAAAATAATGTCCTTGTACTGTACTGTTAATTCTGTCATTATAGAACGCAGTTTTGGCAGCACTGATGCTTGTTGAGATGGATAGGAGCAATTGGTATCCCTTAAGGTCGGCGGGGTCTTTAGTTTTGACATTTTCTTTCAGCAGCTCTGAGATCAGTACGGAGCCCAAGGATGGTATCAGTTAGCCACGGGTGGGACTGGTTTTGGATTCCGTCTCTGCTCGGCGGGGGATTGCTGGCGGTGGTTCCAGCTCGTGGCAGATGATTGGTTGCTTTTTCTGATGGCTGCCATTTTAGCGGAGAAGATGGCGGTGGCTGCGCACGTCTGGGTATCTTGGCATTCTCCTCTTCTCCAAACAGGCCACAGTCTGATCTTGTTTAAATACGGGTGGGCCGCCAGTTCTGTTCCCTTCTTTCTCGTTTATTATAATCAGGGAGGTTTTGTTTGTTTGACAGGTTAGTTCATCTTTTTAAAATAAATTTATCATTCCTTAATAGTCTACGTTGTGCTCATGTGGCTCCTTGGGACTTGGGGAAGATGGGGTAGTTTCGTGTTACGTCTGGGCCCCTAGACCGGGCGTAACAAGGCTTATTTGATGTAACAGGGAAATGTCCAGCTCTGAGTCATTAGCTGACCACACACACACACACACACACACACACGAGTTCACTGACCTTCCACCTCTGGTTATTTTTCCTCATGGAACTCTCCTTGTTAGGAAGACAGCAGTTAGACTGATAAAAGGTAGAGACAGTAGCAAAGTCTTTAGGCTGTCAGATATTGGTGTTCTCTGGGAATCTTACAAGAATGTTCACAAGAACTTACTGCTTCAAAGATTAGAGTACAACTCATGAATAGTAATAGATTTCAACATGACGAAGCACTGGAGTAACCGATCGATTTATTGTTCTAGGTTAAGGCCAGCTAAAGATGACGTAAAAGGGAAACCTATGCCGTTTTTGCATTACCAGTTCGACTCGACTCTGTTTTGGCCTGCCGTCTTCCATTGCAGATAGTACCCCTTAATGCCGCAGGCTTCCCCTGCCGCCACTTGTGGAGCCCCTCAACTCCGAAAACCTTCAAGCACATTTTTGTTCTGCCATCACTTCTCGTAAAACTGTCAGTATTCAAATCTACACACTTGATTTCTCACCTCAAAACTTCTGTAAAGTAGATTTAGTGATGAAAATGTATGAAAATTGTAAAATATAAAACTTTGTCTGGCGCGCACAATGATGATGCAGTGAATAGTGACGATTCTCTCTGACCAATCAGCAGTCTGCTTTGTTTTCATGCCACATTTTAGTATCGCCTTAGCTCGCTTGGAACTTTGACAGAGGTGATACGAAAAAAAAAAAAAAACCCTGGAAGCTGGTACAACTTTTCCACAATGGAAAACCAAACAAAGGCGAGTAGAGCTGGTACCATGCAGTGGAAAAGGGGCTCTACATGCACTAGGGGGAAGACAGAACCATTAAGGGGACCAAACAATGTTAACCTTCAGATTTGGTCCATAGAGCCACCAACTAACATGGAGTTCTACCAAACTATAAGAAACATTTCTTCCTGTGCTGACAGACCGACTGCATGGTGGGCAGGAAGTCGGTATGTTGTGATCTTTGTGCTCAGGAGGCAACGCTGGTCGTCCTGTTTATCATGACAGAATGAATTTGAATCTTGCATGCTTTTTTATTAAAAGGTTCAGTTGTAGGTTTTAGTAGCATCTAGTGGTGAGTGTTGCAAATTGCAACCTGATTGCAACCAACGGTCTACTCACCGCTCCCCCCCTTTTGAAGTGTGCAGGAGAAGCTACGGTGGCTGACATCTTCTGTCGACTCTTCTGCTTAATATTTACATGTGGTCCTCCATTTGTCCAGATTCACTTCTGTTTTTACTTGTAATAAACAAGACGACAACTACTACTACTTCCTGCTTTCTTACAGTGCAGACAGATTGCTGCTTGCGCTTCCCTCTGCCAGCGCAGCCTATCAATAGCACTAGCATGTACTGCAGTGATTGGCTTTGTAGCTAATGCTAATTAGCAATAAGATGCCCCCCTTCTCCACGGACGACTTCCACAAACTTCTACAGAAAGTTGCAGTGCTGGAAACCAAGATCCACAGGTTAGAAGTGAATGGATTATGTGGTAATGACACCACTTTACCATGGATCCAAAACAGTGGATAAGACCATGCTAACACACGGCTAATAAATAACAAAACTACCAAGAAGCAGGAGGCCTCTGTACTGGGCAATAAATCTGAAAGTGGTAGTCCTCCCTGGAACACTCTTGGAGCAAAGCCTAAGAATAAATAATTTCCCTGGTAAATGGTTGGACGAGTAACAGCAGAACTCAGCGCCCCGAGATTTGCGATGCGACCAGATGGCCTGCATTTTCATCCAGGCTGAGCGCCTCTTCAACCCATGATCTTAGTAGGGCACAGCCGTGGACCGCTGCAAAAGGGAGAGTTAGCAACAAACCTCCCAACAACCGAGTGTGCAACAGCAGAACAGATTTTCACCACTATTGCAGGACCCTGGAGCTCTGTCTGATGACCTGGATAACCTCCCGTCCTCACACAGAAGGGTAAGGACTGAGTGTAAATCAGAAAGTAACTTACTCCCCGCACCTTCTCTCGCCCTACTCCCATTTTCTCTACCCTAAACTCCCCTCACCGTCCACTGGTTCTAAGTCCTCCAGAATTTGACACGTGTCACACATACAGCACCCAACCCGTCCTCCCGCTCCGCAATGGTGGAAAAGCCCAGTAAGCTCTGTCTGATATGTGCTGGGTCCAGGCTACAAGGAAAATAGAACTCATGACTCTTCCCAGGACAAGCCGGGGCCCGGTGTGCTGGTAGTCTTCTCCATCCCTGTCTTGACAGGTAACAGAAAAAGCATGGTGAATGTGTTAACAGGAAGCACTCAACATATCCTGCAAATTTAGTATTAATTCCTCGTCAGCCGCAGCCTGTCGAAAAAAGTGGGCCAGATAATGTTAACACACTAAAATTAGCTTTGTTAAACGTCTTTGGCAGGAAAAACATTTTTAATCAATGATTTTATAATCACGCATCAGAGCCGGCCCTAGACCTTCGGGAGCCCTAATCAAAATTTAGTTGGAGGCCCCTCTGTCTGTTGTCACTATATATGACAGAAACAACATCTCTTGTTTTTAAATAAGACCAGACGAATCTTTTATATTCTTAAACCTGCCATGTTTGTTTAGCACAAACACACCAAAGCAAATTTGACAATAAAGCTGATTCTGATGAAAAATAACTGGAACAGGAAACATTTGATACATATGCTACTGAGCTTAATGGCAGTGCAAGAGCCAGTAGACACTGATGAACTTAGTTCTGAATAAAAGACTGATCAAGTGATTATGACCAAAGCTTAAATCTTTAATAACAGCCAGACAAGAAATTAAGAGACAAAAAATACAAAACAGTTGATAGCATCGTTATCAGTGATCTAAACATGTAATGATAGAAAAAGACTTACTGCTCACCACATCAATGTGTAACTGGTCATTAAGGCCTGATGGTCAGTCAGCTGGGTCAGCTGGATCCACTGGAGCAGTAGAAACAGAAGAGACAGGCGTGGTAGTAAGCACGATGGTACCGCTCTCCACTTCAGTAGTCACAGGTAGACCTATGACAGGTAGACCTATGAGGGAGATTAACACGGAAAATAAGTAATTTTAGTAAGTTGACATGTTCATACACTGAGTGTTCCTAGAGGTGTGAGTAATTGTTTAGTTACTGTTGATGTAGGCCTAAACTTACCAGCTGTCACCATTTGTGTGGTGAGGCAGGTTGGTGGACCCAAATGCAGGATACGTAGACTGACAGGTACAGTTCAAAAGGTTTATTAAAAGCAAGCACACTTACATTTGAGTGGCTGACAAACAGAGACCAAAACCAAGGTGATCCAACAGAAATCCCAAAATCCAGGGAAACAGGGTGGCACAACTAGTAAGGCAGGCTGGCAGGACAACACACAGCAACATGGGGACAGAGCCTAAACAGAAACACCAGGTATATATACACACAGGGACTAACGAGCAGGGCGGGAACAACACAGGTGACAGGGATCAAGGCAAACGAGGCAGGCAGAGAGACCGCAGGGAGAAACAGAGACTAGCAGGCAGGCAGGTTACTGAGGGGGGGAAAAAAGAAAACACAAGTTACTCAACACTAAACACCAGAGTAATATAGATAAACGAATACAAGCAGACAGATCACAAATAAACCAACAAGGAACACAGACAGAAGCTGAGATTAAAGAGAACACAGAGCAGACAAGGGCAACATTACTAGTGATGGCGAGATGAAGCATTGAAGCTTTCCATCCAGAACCTCAAAACAGGAAACATAACAGACTGGAGTAGGGAACAGAGACGGATAGGACCACAATAAACATGGAGAAGAACAGCAAATAAGGGAAATACCCAAAACACAACAGACTATATAGCAGACACTGGACAAAGGACAACAGATAGATCCGAACCCAAAACTCAACAACTCTAAGACAGATACTGAACAGATTAAAATAACAAACACTGAAGTATACGGACCAGGAGTAAATACTAAGACATTAACTGACTGGGAACTAAGACATGGAACCAAAACACAGACTAAATAACAGATACCAAACTGATAGATGAATAAACTCAGAACTTAACGGAACAGATGACAGGACTAACATGCAGATACAAAACCAAACCCTCAGAATCAAAACCCAAAAACACTCAAGACAGGATCGTGACACCAGCACTGTCAGCTTCTGGGATAATACCAATGATTGAGTTAGAGGTGGAGGCTGATGGACCTGCTATGAAATAATAAAAATAATAAATAAATTGACTGAATTTTAATGACTTGTCTTGTCTTACTTTAGGTCTCGAGGCTCCATGATGTTGCTCCAGAATCAGTCCTTAAAAACAGCTACTACCCACTCCCTACCTGACAGATTTGTTATATCATGAAAGAACAGGGCATCTCTATAGGTTTAACTAAAACACATAAACTACCAGCAGAGTCAGCTTCTTGGGTGAAATGACCATGTTCAATCCTGGCCTATTTGGTTTTGTTCTGTTAAATGCTTTATAACACCACATGTGAAGAGCTCAGCTCCAAAGACAATGTTAGATAGATAAAGCTAACGGTTTATACGTTACGTATATATATACGTTAGCTACGTTTATGCAGTTTGTAAAAATTGTGATGCTAATCGCAGTTAGCATGTTAGCAAGCTATAGCGTTAGCATTGTTGATACCAGCGCGGCTAACTAAGGCTAAAAATACAAGCATAGGAAAACTGAGCCTGTGGACTTACGTACCTTTTTTGTCTTTTTACATGTCCAGACAAATATGATCTTCTCTTGTCAGACATCAGGCCTGATGGACCCAGCGTAACGAGTGATGTTGGTGATGTCACAGGGTCAGGAGTCACAGGTCACAGCTGATTTATAGTATCTAACTAAATGAAATAACCACTATGCTTATGGTGCGTAATATAAAGAGCTGTCTTTCATTTTATTTTTATTATTTTATGTTTCTTTTTTCAGTGATTTTTTCCCACCACTAGCAAGCAGTGACTGTACGGGGCCCCCTGCTGGCCACGGGGCCCTATACCACTGCAAAGGTCGCTTAGAGCTGGGCCAGCTCTTACTACTTACAGATCTTACTTTCATGTTTTTAACTGAGACTTGGTTGGACCAAGAAGAGAGGAGGTGGAGTTTCCATTTTGTTTAATGACTCCCTCCAATTTAAAAGATGTCTTATGGAAATTTTCCAATGTTGCTTTTATCTTTTTATGTAAAGCACTGAATTGCATTCTTGTTGAAATATGCTATAAACATAAACTTGCCGTACCTTCTTCTTAAGTATTCAACGTAGTGATGAAGCGCGCTCTCTAGAGCAGTTTGTCCGTTTGGGCTACTGTAGAAACGTGGCGGCGCAACATGCCGACTTCCATGTAAGAGGACCCGCATTGTCTGTAGATAGACATGTCTCATTCGAAGGGAATAAAAACATAACGGTTCATTATGTAAGGTCTTTTCACACCACTGAAAACATAGTTATGGATCTTATATTGCATTTCTGTCAATAGATCCTCATGAATATTATACACTGAACCTTTTATTGCTCACCAAATGTAGATCCATCCACTGCTGAAATACCTGGTTCTTGCCTCAATACTCCAACATATTGTAGTCTAAGCTACCTGTATTCTCGCCTTAAGCTGACTCCTGGATTTGGAACTCCAAACCCTGGATCTCTGGACCCCCTACTGGATCAGACTTCACTTCCTGGATCTCTGGACTCTGTCTGCTACCTGCTACCTGGAAGGCTCTGCTCACTCTGATACTGGATACTTCCCCACTTTGTCCAACCCCACTGCTGGCCTGCAGAGTCCCCACTACATGGTGGATGTGGTGGTCAGGTTTGGGTGCAGACACGGTTGTGTAATCCAACAGCACACACACTCAAGGACTTTCCACCTGCTGTGAAACAGCAGATTAATGATTTATTAACGTTTGGATTATAAAGAGATGCTTCCACACACACACCAACATCTGGATTTCCATTAGTTCACTTCAGCAGAAATCTGACAATGAAGGTAAGCTTTGAAGTCTGTTAGCAGTAACAGTATTTAAAATATGGTATGGTGACCTACTGTTAACTTTTTTCTTTCTGTTACATCCCTTTCAAAGAAAAAAAAAAAGGTGATAACACAAAAAACAAAGAAATCAAGTGAAAGGGACAATAAAGATGATTTACTTACAAGATAAACTGAATACACAACAAAGGTGCTCCCATCAGGAGTTTTGGGGCCGATCACCAGCCAGTGGAAGCAGCACTGGCCAACACCGATTACTGGGTCTTTTTAACTCCTTCTATTTATCATGAAGCAATGTATATTTATGTAACTTTTTCTAAAGAAAATAATGTATTGAGTATTAAAATTAAGAGCACAGGCATCATGAGTCAATGATAAAGAAGACGCTTTTTGTTCTGGAAAGCTCAGGCTTTACGGGGTAGAGAGGAGTCATACCTGTCAACATTGGGATTTGAAAATTAGAGAAATTTAAATAAAAGTACAATGTTAATTTCATAGTATAATGTTAGTATTTTATTTATAGTTACTATAGCATTATAATTTCAGATATAGTTTACCACTGTTATAGGCCTAATATTAATTCTTTGGGTTGCTTTCATTCATTTAATCCTAAACAGTTGAAATTGGTCTCTAATTTATTAATTAAAACAGGCAATTGAAATGTGAGGGAGGAGTGGAAAAGGTGGTTGTGCCAAATAAATAACTGAAAACAAGTTAACAAAACTAGGCCTAACTAAGCGTAAACTCTTCAGGCAGGCTTCTTTTACTGATGGCATGGCCAGGGTGTTTACTATTGATAATAATTAACACTGATAATGTTAATTTGGGGTCTGGTGGAAATCTCCACGTTACGTGAACTTCAAACAAAATGCAGCAACATTATTTTTCCGAGTAGCTTCCGCTCTTTGACGACCTGTGAGACAGGCTGCGTCATAAAGATTATTACATATTAATAAAATATGACCTGGCGACGCCGATGGGCATGGCATTATGATTGGTCAGCTTCAGACATGATCAACCAATGAGCAACTTGACCAGACTGCACAGGTGGAAGCCAATCATCCTGTTAGCACCTGGAGAAAACACACAAGGCCTGCTTGGCACATAACAGTAGAACTTCAGCAGTAGAACAGTAGCCTCTCTGGCCTCCTACAGCTACCCTACATATGTTATTTTATCTCCTCACAGTGAAAATAAAACATTTGTTTACACTGAATGTAAAATTTTCAGCACCAACCACTGCAGGGTCTCCCTGCTGCTAAATAACCTGTCTGTTCCAGCTGGTATCAGTCGTCTTCCTCCTCCTGGCTCCTCTGTTGACCAGCTGCCAGCAGCTCGTCCTCCCACTGGACTGCAGTGACATCTATAACCATGATCGCAGTCGACCCAGTGGAGTGTACACCATCTATCCCATCGGAGCCACTTCTGCTGTCCAGGTACACTTCATCCTCTCTGGGACACTTAGGAGATGAAAGTGTTTGAGTTTCAATAGAGTTAGTAACTTGCAGTAATGGGATGCGTCACCAGTAGTACTAGTACAGGTTTATATATTTAATATTCCCAGGTGGATGAACTGACTGAGTGTGTGTGTCTGTGTGTAGGTGTACTGTGACATGGACTCACTAGGAGGACGATGGATGGTGAGTATTTTAACTCAAGTACCAAATCTGGCTCAGCAGTTCTCACATCCAGGACCTGTTCAGACTGATCAGAGGCCTCCCATGAACTCTACCAAGCTAGCTCTGCTGTTACACAATCAATGATCAGTGCACAACTTCCTTCAGTCGGTACGCCTTGTTAACCAAAGATATTGATGGAATGTAGGGGAATACATTTGAAGCAGCAACCAGTTGAGACCAGGAACGAGACAGGAGAACTGACCTGATGCACAAAGTGGTTTGTACTAAAGCCAGCTGTTTAAGACACTCAGAGACTGCTCACTACAGCTGTGATGATCATTTTAAAGAGTCCATGTGCATCAATAAACCCTGTGTTCACAGACAGGATTCTGACTTTCATTAAAGAACTTAAAGCAGACCACATTTTCCTCCACAGGAATTAGCTTAACACAACAGGACATAACCTCTAAAGTGGCAGAGGTCTACTGAGGCAGCTTTAGCAGTGGGACAGTTGTTGTCTGTTAGCTAAACCATGCTAGTCGGGTTAGCCAATGTATGTATATGTTAAATGCAAATAAGAAATCAGAGCTGACAGAGTCTCACGTGTTATGCACATCTACTGTTTAGGAGGGTTCTTGTTTTCCAGTAAGTCCCTGCAAAACCAGACAAAGAGTGGCAGATCAGACTGACATTGTTCACCACCCAACAAGTGGTTTGTACTAAAGCCAGCTGTTTAAGACAGAGACTGCTCAGTCTCACTCTGACTCTAAAGTGCCAGAGGTCCAGACATTATCAGTGTGTCTGTTGTTCCTGACCCCGGATAGACAAATCCAGCAGCTGGTTTATGTGATGTACTTCCTGAATGAAGGCTTACCACTGGTTCAAACCTTGTTGCCTGGAAACATGAGCTGTCAGGTATCTGGTGTGTTTAGCAAGTTCTCCCTCCATCCCGTCCCCCCCAGGTGTTCCAGAGGAGGATGGACGGCACCGTGAACTTCTACAGGGGCTGGGATCAGTACAAGCTGGGCTTTGGTATCGCTGCTGGAGAGTACTGGCTTGGTGAGAAACCAAACCTAACTAACACTAATGCGACTTTGTAGAACTCACTGTTTGTACATGTGTATGTGTTTCAATTCAATTTTATTTATATAGCGCTGACATCGGGCGCAAGGCGGGGTCCACCCTGGACAGGTCGCCAGTCCATCACAGGGCCACTAGTGTTAATGATAACAATCATAATGTTAATGATTAAAATAACAATAATAACAATAATAACAATAGGACTAGTAACAATAGTTGTTGCAGCAGAGGGTGTCGAGCAGGAACACGGGGGCAGCAGGTGACCCGCAACCACAGATCCAGACTCCACAGCTCCAGAGCCAGAAAACCTGCAGGAAGTGATAGGAGGAGAGAGGAGAGGGACGAGAGAGCACAAGACTACCAGAAAGGGGAGAAGTTGTGTTAGTAACATGCAATAATGGGATAAGGTTGCATACAGAGGGAGAGAAAGTAGAGGAGAGAGGAGCTCAGTGCATCATGGGAAATCCCCCGGCAGTCTAGGCCTATAGCAGCATAACTAAGGGATGGTTCAGGACTCACCTGAGCCAGCCCTAACTATAAGCTTTATCAAAGAGGAAAGTCTTAAGCCTACTCTTAAATGTGGAGATGGTGTCTGCCTCCTGAACCCAAACTGGAACCTGGTTCCACAGGAGAGGAGCTTGATAGCTGAACGCTCTGGCTCCTAGTCTACTTTTGGAGACTCTAGGAACCACAAGTAACCCTGCATTCTGGGAGCGCAGTGCTCTGGTGGGGTAGTAAGGTACTATGAGCTCTTTAAGATAAGATGGTGCCTGACCATTATGAGCTTTGTAGGTAAGAAGAATGATTTTAAATTCTATTCTGGATTTTACTGGAAGCCATTGCAAGAAGCTAAAACAGGAGAAATGTGATCTCTTTTCCTGGTTCCTGTCAGAACACGTACTGCAGCATTCTGGATCAGCTGAAGAGTCTTAATAGACTTTTTCGAGCAGCCTGATAATAAGGAATTGCAGTAATCCAGCCTAGAAGTAACAAATGCATGGACTAGTTTTTCTGCATCATTTTTAGACAGGATGTTCCTGATTTTCGCAATATTACGTAGGTGAAAAAAGGCGGTCCTTGAAATTTGCTTAATGTGAGACATAAACGACATGTCCTGTTCAAAGATAACTCCAAGATTCCTCACAGTGGAAATCACATTTGAAGTTTAGCTAACTGATGAGCTTCATCTTGTTTGATCGATAGATATAACTGAGTATCATCTGCATAACAATGAAAGCTTATGGAATGTTTCCTGATAATATTGCCTAAAGGAAGCATATATAAAGTGAAGAGGATTGGTCCGAGGACAGATCCTTGAGGAACTCCATGACTAACTTTGGCGTGCATGGAGGACTCATCGTTAACATGTAACTGAAATCGATCTGATAAAAAGAACATAAACCAGCTTAGAGCGGTTCCTTTTATGCCAATGAAATGTTCCAGTCTCTGCAATAGGATCTGATGGTCAATGGTATCAAATGCAGCACTAAGATCTAATAAAACCAGTGCAGAGACAAGTCCTTTGTCTGATGCAATAAGGAGGTCATTAGTAATTTTCACCAGTGCTGTCTCTGTGCTAAGATGAGCTCTAAATCCTGACTGAAAATCCTCAAATAAACTATTGCTCTGTAGAAAGTCACACAGCTGTTTAGCAACTGCTTTCTCCAGAACCTTAGAGAGAAATGGAAGGTTAGATATAGGTCTATAGTTGGCTAAAACATCCGGATCAAGTTTGGGCTTTTTCAGAAGAGGTTAAATTACAGCTACTTTAAAGTACTGTGGTACATAGCCTGTTGTGTTTGTGTTCAGGTCTTGAGCCTCTCTTCCACCTGACTCTGAGGAAGAAATACGAGCTGCTGGTCGACATGGAGGACTTCAGTGGAAACAAAGCGTTTGCTCGTTACTCCTCGTTCTCCATCGACTCAGAGTCTGACGGATACAGACTGAATGTATCTGGATTCACTAATGGAGGGGCAGGTGAGGTGGCAGCAGAAGTACTTTTGTGTTTTTCTGAGTTTCCACAGGAAGGTGATTTTCCCTAAAGTCTCCCTGAAGGACTGGCCTTATACTGGATTATTTGGGCGGTCCTTATGCTAATGACTGATTGATGCAGAGCTGCACCAATCAGTGGTCTGCTTCTGTTTCATGAATCACATTCAGGTGTCTGTACCTCAGAGACTCTCTGCAGTCCATTTATCTGGACTCACTTTAGGTTGTTATGTTGCAGTCGCAGTGTTGCTGTGTTGCCTGGTTAGTGCAGTAGCTGTTTTAGTAGTAATACTTAGGTGGACAGATGTGAATGAAAGGTTAGAGAAGTGGAACTGAGCACTAAAATCTGGGCTGGGCTCTTCCTGAAGTCCACGACCATCTCCACGGTCTTCAGATGGTCGATCTCCAGACTGTAGGCGGACTCGTCCCCACCTGAGATGAGCCCAATGAGGGTGGCGTCATCTGCAAACTTCAGGAGCTTGACAGACTGGTGACTGGAGGTGCAGCTGTTGGTGTACAGGGAGAAGAGCAGGGGGGAAAGAACGCAGCCTTGAGGGGATCCGGTGCTGATGGTCCTGGAATCAGAGACATGTTTTCCCAGCTTCAAGTGCTGCTTCCTGTCCGTCAGGAAGTCTGTGATCCACCTGCAGGTGGAGTCAGGCACGCTCAGCTGGGAGAGCTTGTCCTGCAGCAGGGCCGGGATGATGGTGATAAATGCAAAGCTGAAATCCACAAACAGGATCCTGGCGTAGGTTCCTGGGGAGTCCAGGTGCTGGAGGATGTAGTGAAGGGTCATGTTTACTGCATCATCTACGAACCTGTTTGCTCTGTAGGTGAACTGCAGGGGGTCCAGGAAGAGGGTCTGTGATGGATTTTAGGTGGGACAACAAAAGTTCAAAGGACTTCATAACCACAGAGGTCAGGGCGACGGGTCTGTAGTCGTTTAGTCCAGTGGTTTCTTGGGGACAGGGATGATGGTGGAGGCTTTGAAGCAGGCTGGCACATTTCATGTCTCCAGTGATCAGCACAGTGCTTCAGGGTGGATGGGGAGACAGAGTCCGGCCCAGCTGTTTGCGGGGTTTCTGCCTCTTGAACAGTCTGTTGACTTTCCCCTCTGAGATGGAGAGAGGGGGGAGGGGTGGCGCTAGCCAACTCTGAGGAGGAGGGGGGGCTGATGTAGGATGTCACAGCCTCTGTAAACTCATGCAGATTGTTGGTAGCAGTCCTGAAACATCCCAGTCAGTGCAGTCCGAGCATGCCTGAAGATCCTCTACAGCTTTACTGGTCCACTTCTTTGATGTCCTCACTACAGGTTTACAGAGCTTTAGTTTTTGCCTGTAAGCAGGAATCAGATGGACCATCACGTGATCAGAGTGTCCCAGTGGAGCGCGTGTGACGGTGTGATAGGCCCTGCTGACTGTGGTGTAGCAGTGATCCAAAGTGTTCCCCTCTCTGGTTGGACACTTTATAAACTGTCTGTATTTGGGGAGTTCTTGGCAGAAGTTTCCTTTGTTAAATTCACAGAGAACAATAACAAGGGAGTCCGAATCTTTCTGCTCCACACACAGTATCCGGTCGGCCATCACACGCTGTGTGTCATAAAACAGTTTACAGTTACTGTTAAAAAATTCCAGATCAGGAGAACAGTGCTGCTGAATCACTGTCACGTCGCTACACCAGCCATTGTTAATATAAAAACAGACACCTCCACCTTTTGTTTTGCCGGAGAGTTTTGTGTCACAGTCCACTCTGTGCAGCTGGAAGCCTGCCAGTCCGGTATCAGCTCACACAGCCACGTCTCCGTGAAGCAGAACAGAAGATGAATAAAAGTCAGTTTTTCCCCACCAGAAGCTGAAGTTCGTCCAGTTTGTTGCACAGTGAGCGCACACTGGAGGGAAATATTGCCGGTAGAGTCCCCGCCGGCGAAGGCAAAATAGCGATCTGGCTTTTTCCTCTCCTGCAGCACTTCACCGCCCGAACAACAGCGAGAGAGCCCTTCACCCAAAATGTCCACTGATAACGCGAGAAAAGTGGGAACTAAATCCTCTGGAGTTGTTCCCCTGATGTTCGTGAGCTCTTCTCTGGTGAAAGAGCCCCTTGTTAGATGGTGCACCTTGATGCGCCAAAGCACATTATGGAAATCAACATATTTTTGTAATCGATGATGTAGATTATGTTGATGAATTACCCCAGCCCTATAAATAAAGCTGGACTTTGTCAGATTGCCTGATTGAAATGAAGGTGACCTCTGGCTTCTGTAGATGATTTTCAAAATATTAGATTTAGATTGTTTCATCCAGGTGAAACATTGAGTCGATCATAAACGACCTGCTGGTGACTTCAGCTGTCTGGACCATAACTGGTCTCATCAGTCTGTCTGATAGAGGACTGCAGACTGTGAAAAGTTCAGCTGATACTTATAGATAATGCAAATTTACTAACCCTGTGGTTCTTCTGTGTATCTGTAGGAGACTCCTTTAGTCTTCACAGCGGACAGAAGTTCTCCACCTTTGACAAAGACCAGGACACCTGGCCCGGTAACTGTGCCAGATCATTCTTGGGGGCGTTCTGGTACAACAACTGTCACCATACAAACCCTAACGGGGTTTATCGCTGGGGGGATGACAGCACTATCTATGCTGTTGGAGTGGCGTGGTACCATTGGAAGGGTTATGACTACTCCCTGAAGACCATCAGCATGAAGATCCGTCCTGTGCAGTAGTTCTCCAGGACCAACGTACAGCAGAATATCAGCAGCTGATCTCTCCCCTGATTTCTTTCTCTTTCTCTCATTAAGCATGTAATCTCACAACGGGCCTTATTTTCCTGAAACTGGGCACGAGCACAATCCACCAGCAGCAGAACACCAACTCAGATTAGTCCTTTTTGTTACCTTCTGTGGCTCAAAGCGGTCGCAGCTCGGCGCAGCGTGGAAGAGAGGCTGAATAAATGATTAGTAGGAGGAGCACAGAATCAGCAGGTGGAGCTTCAGTAATGACCAATCACATGAGCTCCTCTCATCCTTTTTAAAAGCAGCAGACAGACCAAGTGGACCAGGACGAGTCAGGCCGAGGCGTCTATGAGAAATAAAGAAGGCTCCGAACACAAATGTGGAACATCCCAAATATTAATATACGTTAGCAACACATCAGGATTTCAGGCCACTCCACCTTCCACCAGTGGAAAGTCAGCTGGCTGCAGTTGGGCTGCTGCTGGATTTGTGCCGGCAGGAAAGTAGGGCCCAGAATCTTGAAATGGAAACAGATATTTAGAGTCTGATTGTGTGAAAATCGCTGCATTAACTGCCAACACAATCTGAAAAGAGGAAAAAGGAATGAAAAAGGAAAGTGTCAGCAAATCTTTGCAGTTCAGTTCCAGCCAGTTGATGAAACAGCAGTGAAGGTAAACAGGATGTCAGTAACTGACAGAAATGTTTCCATCTCAAATGAAAGAGTTTGATTGTGTGTGAGCAGCTGCTGGCTGGAAAGTCTTCAGTCAAACAGCTGTTGGTGTAGAGAAATGAGTCTCTGCTGGTTCAGATGTTACCTTCAGTCTGCTGGCTGCAACTAAACACACTCAGCTTTAAAGTCAAACTCACTAGTTTCAACACAACGTTTGGTGGAGGTTTGAAACCCTAATGTGAATCATTATCTGCTGTACGCTGACAATAAATGAGAAGCTGAGCATGAAGCTGATCTGATGTCTTCACTGTGTCTCCTGTGTCTCTGTCTGGATTCTCTCTGGTCAGAAGTTCAGAGGTCTCTTTCCTTCCTGTTCACAAACACAAATGATCATGAGTCGCTGCCCTCTGGTGGTCACAGTTACTGCTAAACTTCTTTATATACTATTAGTAGTACTTTAATTTTCAATATACCTTCTGCAGGGACAAAAATACACAAATAAATACAGAGTTCTGAGAGATCAAAACTGGTATTAACAGTCATGTTAATGTCATACATATACACTCAGTTCTAAATCAATTTAAATTTATTTAAACTGCTTTTTAAACTGTTAGTAGTGGTTTAATAAAACATCATGAGAACATTTCCACCTGACACCAAGTGATGGGATGAATTTCATATATACTTCTATTATAAAACACACATTCTCACAGTGACACTGGGCCTACACTACACCAGTAAGGTTGATTTTCTCTCAAATATGTTACTTTTTTATATAATTTATCTTTGGTTCATTCTTAAAATATTTAAACAGACTGAGTCGTTGTTGTTTTGCTGTATTTGTAGTCAGTTTTGTTTCTGCAGTTATCTGATCAGCCATTATAAATGTCCTCCTTTGTGTTCAGTTATATTCCATCAATAGGACGTTACCACAACATGGGTTAAATAAATAGTTCTGTAACTACTGAGCAAACTCCATTTCCTGAGGAAGATGATAAAATACAGTCAAAATAAGCAGTCAGTTATTATTCATATAATCACCGATCTATAATCTACATCTGAGTGAAGCTCAGGGGTCTGACCTTTGACTGTTCCTAAATCTCACATTTGATACTGACTTTTTTAGTCTTTTTTTTGTTTGTTTTAATGAACTAATTAATTAATTTTAGTTCCCCCCCCCCCCCCCCCCCCCTATTAATATACACACATACATATACGGTTTTATTTGTTCATTTTTCCAGGACACCGTGTTTTGGGACCCCTCTAGTCTTCCCAGGCTTTCATCCTGCTCGACTCCGAAGCATCAGTCAACCTGGGCTGAAGTGGTGGTCCGTGGCTGCAAGAGAGGCTCGGATGGGGCTGCCTCTCCTCCGCACATCGGCCTCTCCAACCGCTATGCAGCCTTGTCTAACGACACTTCGGTCCATCCAGCTGATGCACCTGTGGCTTCGAGTCTCCCTGATACGGATCTCTTTCGGCGCACAGTGCCTGCCGACACTGTTGCATCTCCTCCACCGGCTACATCTCCTGCACTGGGCCGCCGGTCTGCCGCCGGGCCTGATCGGCGGCCGTCATCCCGGTCAAAAACCTCCGCTTCCCGACGTAGGATCCTGAAGGAGGCTGTGCTCAGACGCTCCGGAGGCCGTCTCTACCCTGCACCGTCGGGTAGCCCTTCTCTCAGGTCTGTTACTGCTACTCCAACACAACACTCGCAGCTCACACACTCCATCCTCAGTCCGCACGCAGTGTTGAAGCAAATTCTGCTCAGTCCTGCTCTGGAACCCCACAACCGGCATCTCCTCGTCCCCTTTTCTCCCCAACCACACTAATAATTGGTGACTCCATAACCAGAAACCTCCGTTTCTTTAACGCTACCACTCACTGCTTCCCGTCCTCCATCACAAGAGTGATAGTCCATGTCGGAACAAATGACACAGCTCTTCAGCAGTCTGAGCTGACAAAATTAGATTTTAACCGTCTTCTTAACTTTTTAAAGCAGTGTGGAAGTCTGTTTTTATCTCTGGTCCCATTCCCACAGTTGGTCGCGGTGCTGGCCGCTTCAGTAGACTCCTTGGCCTCCACGACTGGCTCCAGTCCGCCTGCAGGCTCATCGTGTGTGTTATGTGGATAATTTTAATATTTTCTGGCAAAGAATGTCTCTTTTTAAGACAGACGGACTTCACCCAAACAAACGGGGCTCAGAAATGTTAGCTGCTCACATACAGCATGTGGTGCGGTCCACACATGACTTACGTGAATGACTAATCATTCATGCAGCACACCTGGACAAACCACCGCTCACAGAACAGATCTCTGCCTCACTGCCACAAACAACTGTCTCCACCTGCTGGCATGTAAAGCCGTCTGCTCCCAGCGCTGTTCCACAGACTTCTATCATCATATTTGTTATAATTTATCGCCCCCCAAAACCGCCTGGAGGATTTTTATCAGAACTTCCTGAATTTTTATCTACTCTGGTTTTAAATTATGACAGAATTGTTCTTTGTGGCGATTTTAATATTCATGTTGATGACCCCAACAATGTTAATGCAACTGACTTTTTAAATATGGCCACTTCTTTTAACTTCAAACAACATGTCAAAGGGCAAACACATAACCGTGGTCATACACTGGACTTGGTTTTTACCCTGGGGTCAGCATTTCCTCTGTGGAATTAGTGGACATGACCATATCTGACCACAGATGTATTGTTTTTAGCTGCGATTCGCCTGTTACTCATGCCGCCTCACCAAGCTCCGTGTGTTCTCGCATCTTTAATGAACAAAGTTTTGCACATTCTTTCAGAGCCAAAGCCAACACCTGTCTGATTCCAACACCAACAATCTGGTCGATCACTTCAATCATATCTGCTTGTCGTCACTAAATATTACTGCTCCTCTAAAGGTTAGGCCTACGTCTAAAGCTAGTAAGCAACCCTGGATAAATGACAGCATTCGCAGCCTAAAAAGGGAATGCAGGAAAGCAGAGCGCAGATGGAAAAAATCCAGTCTCCAAGTCCATTACCTCAGTCTGAAGGATTTATTAATTAACTACAATAACATGGTTAAGGATGCGAGAACACACTATTTTTCTGAACTCATTACTACACATAAACACAATCCCAGGTTTCTGTTTAAGACTGTGGATCAGCTGGTAAACCCAACCCCTCCTTGTGCCTCAGCTGGAAGTAATGATGACTGTGAATTGTTTTTATCTTTTTACCAATAAGGTGGTGTCAATCAGAGCCTCTATTACCCCCGTGGCCTCTTACTCAGAGGTTCCTCACCAGCAACAAGAGAGTTTTAACCAGTTTTATCCCATCGACTTGTCTGAGCTTTTGAAAACAGTATCACAAATGAGAGTGTCCTCCAGCCCACTTGATGTAATACCTACAAAGTTTTTACTGAAAGTAATAGATTCTGTTGGGCCCCATTTGATCTCTGTTTTCAACAGCTCCCTATCTACTGGTTGTGTCCCTGATTATTTTAAAACGGCTTGCGTGAACCCACTTTTAAAGAAACCTGGTTTAGATCCCTCCCTCCCACATAATTTTAGACCAATTTCAAAACTGCTTTTTATTGCAAAGATTCTAGAAAGAACTGTGTCCAAACAGCTGCTCACTGTGCTGGAAAATAACAAATTATTTGAAAAGTTTCAGTCTGGTTTTAGGAAGTACCACAGCACTGAGACTGCCCTGCTTAAAGTCACCAATGACCTTTTAATGTCTGCTGATGAAGGTATGTGCTCAGTCCTGGTACTCCTGGACCTTAGCGCTGCTTTTGACACCATTGATCACAACATCATGTTAGACAGACTGAGGCACTGGGTGGGGATCTCTGGTACTGCCCTAGAATGGTTTTCATCCTACCTGTTAAGTACCTTGTCTGTTCCAGAGTCTCGACTGAAAACTAAAGGGGACAGAGCGTTTGCTGTCAGGGCCCCGAGGCTCTGGAACAGCCTGCCCGAGGAAATCAGGTCGGCTGAGTCAGTGAACTCTTTTAAGTCCCTTCTTAAAACATACTTTTATAGGAGAGCTTTTCCCGATCTTATTTGACTTTATTTTATCCCTTTTATTTTATTCTATTTTACTAATTTTATATTAATCTGTACTTGTATTATTCTTTACACTTGTTAAAGCACTTTGTAACTTGTTTTTGAAAAGTGTTCTACAAATAAGGATTATTATTATTATTATTTTATTTAAATTTTTTTATATATTTTTTTATTATAAGACAAGTTACTGTGTCATTTACTTTTTTTTGTTTTTCAACACACACACACATGCTTACTGTTTTATTTATTTACTCTTTAAAAAAATGTTGTTTACGGAATTTTTATATTTTATATATTTATATATTTTTTATTATTATTATTTTATTTTGTATTAACACACGCAAACAACTTTTGCTCTTTTCTTTTCTTATCTAATGAAATGTATGAAATTAATTGTCCTCATGTACTTTATATACAGCTTTGGCAATATTGTTGCTATACATTCATGCCAATAAAGCTAATCTGAATTTGACTGTTCATCAGATAGATATCAGCTGAACTGCTGAACTTTGTCTCCTGGTTTCACACTGAAAGCTCAGATCTGTTTCCTCTGTGGTGTCTTGGAGTCCAGGATGTTGCTGTGGCTCATGGAAACAGACCTCAGACCAAATGTTGGAAGTTGTTTTTCATCATCCAGTCACTCATGGCAGCTGGGAGACCGTTTATAATGCTGTTCTGTCTCATTTCCAGAAAATCATGAAAAGAAAACCTGGTAGTTACTACAAAGTTTTAAATTTAGTGAAGGATTTCCAAACAGCTGGTCCAACCCAGTCCTGAGGTTAAATCACTTCTCTTTCATATTTCATACCTGTGCTGCAATTGCTCTGATTCACACATCTGATTGGCTCTTTCTCCATAGCAACAGCAGCTGAGGATCATGGGTATTGTAGTACTTTCCCCGTAGAGCCGTCCATTAATCTGACAAAAAAAGCAAATTTAAAATAAGGTAAACTGGGGACCAACATAAACCTACAGTCTGGTTACATTATCCATTCAGGACTTATATATTTCCAGTGTGTATACACCCTAAAGCAAATGCCCAAATCGCTGCGGACACTATCTACAGAGTGACTCAAAGTCTTCAGTCCCTTTCCCCTGATGCCATGTGTTTTTTAATGGGAGATTTTAATAATTGTAAACTTAAAAAATCACTGAATCTTTTCCAGTATGTTAACTGCCCTAGACTTGTGTTATGGTTCTATAAAAGAAGCATATACTTCTCCTAGGCCCCCTACTTGGTT